GTCATGTATCAAACCACTAAGGAAAGGGGACTCTGTCTTACTCTGCTCAGGAACCCAGATGTCCTCAGCAGGTAGTCTGATGCAGGCAGCTAACCTTTTTTAGTTGATGAATAAAAAAAGTTAACATAATGCTCTCATTACTTTTCATTGTTTTCCAGGTAAACTGCTTTTCATACCTGAAGCCGGGAAGGGGAAGAGATGGAACCTAGGAACAATGTGACTCACTTTATCCTCTTGGGGTTCACACAGAATACACAGTGGCAGAAAGCACTTTTTTGTCATGTTCTTGTTCTTCTACATTTTGACCATGGTGGGAAATCTGCTCATCATCGTGACTGTGACTGTCAGCAGGACCCTAGACTCACCAATGTACTTCTTTCTCTCTAACTTATCACTTATTGACATTGTTTATTCATCCTCCATTTCTGCAAAGTTGATTTCAGACTTATTCTTTGGGAGAACTATCATATCCTTCAGGGTTTGTATGCTTCAGCTCCTCACAGAACACCTCTTTGGTGGCTCAGAGGTCTTCCTCCTGCTGGTGATGGCCTGTGACTGCTATGTGGCCATCTGTAAGCCCTTGCATTACTTGGTTCTCATGAGGCAGTGCGTGTGTGTGGTGTTGCTGGCCGTGTCCTGGGCTGGAGGCTTTTTACACTCAATAATTCAGCTCAGCCCTGTGTATGGCCTTCCTTTCTGTGGCCCCAATGTCATCGATCACTTTATGTGTGACATGTACCTCTTGCTGAAACTCGTCTGCACCGACACCCATGTTGTTGACCTCTTAGTGGTGTCCAATGGAGGACTAGTCAGCTCCACGGCATTTGTGCTCCTGCTCCTCTCCCATGGGGCCATGTTCCACTCTCTCAAGAACCTGAGTCAGGAAGGGAGGTGGAGAGCTCTCTCCACCTGTGGCTCCCACATCACTGTGGTTGTTCTCTTCTTTGTTCCCTGTATTTTTATGTATGTGAGACCAGCTAAGACTTTCCCCATAGACAAATCACTGAGTGTGTTTTACACCGTCATTACCCCCATGCTGAACCCCCTAATCTACACCCTGTGAAACTCAGACATGACAAACGCTATGAAAAAACTCTGGACAAGGAGAGCTGTATAGGATAAGTGATCCCCACTATGAGGGGATTCATTTGACTGCAATGCTATATCCTTAGGATCCATAGCCTTCTGAAATCACATGCTAACTTCTCTTCCTTCCAGAGCTTTTCAGTAAATGCAGTTAAAGAAGGCTCTGTATGCC